CAATGCAGTACTATGTAGCTGTCAGAAAAGACGAAGTCATGAAATTTACATACAAGTGGTACTACATGGAAAGTATCATGTTAAGCGAAATGACTCAGAAAGAAAGGGATAGACATAGAAAGATTGCATTCATCTGGGGAACATAAAGTAACAAAATAGGAGACTAACACCCAAGAATGGCCGAGATTAGTACCAGGAATTTTGCTCCATGGCTTGGAGGCCAGCCACACATACTAGGGGAAAAGGGAGCTCAGATAGAGAAGGGAGTACCAAATAGTGTTGGGAGGATCCTCCCAGGATGGGAGAAGCATGCTGAAAGTAGACTATAGACCAAACATGATTGCCACTCAATGCCTCTTTTGCAAACCACAGCACCCAAAAGGAGAGAGAGAACAAAAGGGAGTGCCCTGCCACAGAGGCAGGGGGGGATGGGGGAGATGGGGGGTGGGAGGGATACTGGGATCCGTGGTGGTGGGAAATGGGCACTGGTGGAGGGATGGGTGTTTGATCATTGTATAATTGAAACCCAAGCACAAAAATGTGTAAGTCTGAAACTGTACCTCATGATGTCTCACTATCAAAAAAAATTTTAATAAAAAAAAAAAGAATGAGGCCCTAGCCACAGAGGTCAGACAAACTCGGAGTGGCCAGAGCAGCCTCGGTCCAGGCTGCAGCCTCGTCCTTAACTGCCCTCAGCCCACAGGGTCAGGTGAGAGGCAGGCGGCAAAGTGCTCGCCAGGCAGGCTGGCACATCGGAGTGGCCCGTAGGGTCAGGGAGAGGCACAGCAGCGTGGGAAGGAGCTACGCGGGGGCTGGCAGGCAAACAGATCCCGATGGCGCTCCCTGCCTGTAGGACCCCCGAGACCTTTGTCCCACACGCAAATTAGGAGAAATAAATGCACATGCACTGTGTTTAGCTTGTGCTGCTGCAGCCCCGGAAACGCAGCGAGCAGTGATGTGTCTGAGCAGCTCATTTCCTTTACCAGAAACTGCCGGTGGACAGAACGGTCGTCCATCTGACCTCGAGGCATCCTGGCTGCTTTAGCCAGCTCCCAGGAGTGCGATGGGTGGGCCGGAGACCTCAGGGGACGATGCAGAGCAGTTCCGGGGCAGGCACCTGGTGCAGTGAGATGGAGCCCAGGGAGCAGGGCAGAGTCCAGGCAGTGGGAGAGAGGGCGTCCTCCCAGTTCCCAGCAGTGATGGGGGCATCGGTGTGGGGAAAGGCTCCAGGCTGGGGGTCAAGGGTGATATTGGGCGAAGAGGAGACACCCGGCAAGCTCAGGAATGGAACTGACCGGGGAGGGTGTGAGAGAGCAAGGTCGTGTCCTTGAATAGGGTGCCCCCAAGGGGGGTATCGGAGCTAAGCCTGGTGTGGAGGGAAACTTCCCCCCACAGCCCGAGGCGGATCCAAATGCCTTGGAGCAAGTAGGCCCGGGAGGGGTCTGTCCATGGCCCACTCTTGGAGACCAGCTTGGCCCCAGGCTAATTGGAGGGTGAAATAAACGCAGATTCCTGGGTAAGAATGAAATGAGGGTCCCAAGGCCCCCCAAATAGCAGCCCCCGAGAACTTGCTAGAGATGCTAATTCCCAGGTCACCCCAGACCGGCAGAATCAGGGAATCGAGCCAGGCCCAAAAGCCACGTCCCAGCCTCCCAAGGGGTCCCCATGGTTCAGCCCAAGCTCACGTGAGCCCACAATGAGAAAAGAAATGAAAGTCCAAGGAATTCTGTGCCCAGGGTGCAGGTGCTTCCTCCCACACTGCTCTGAGAGCTAAGGGATGGCCCTCCTGTTTCCAGAAGGATCCACCCCCTCCATCCGGATACCCGGTGACACCCAGCAATGCTTAGCATTTACTCCTAGCTCTGCTCTCAGGGAACTCTCCTGGAGGTGCTTTGGGGACCATATGGGGTGCTGGGGACTAGACCCGCTCGGCCCACACAAGGCAAGCACCTTCCGGAGTCTTAAGTGCGTGCTACGTCTCTGCCCCTGATAGTTCTGCTGGGCAAAGGCAGAACCTGGGACTTTGGGCCTTTCCTGGGCGGTGCAGGTCAAGTGCTCTACTGCTCAGCCACCGCCTTGGGGCCAGAAGCTGCATTCAGCAACAAGGACACCTCAGACAACCCCCTGGGACTTTGGGCCTTTCCTGGGCGGTGCAGGAATCAAAGGAATCAAACTCGAACTCACACATGCAAGGTCAAGTGCTCTACTGCTCAGCCACCGCCCTGGGGCCAGAAGCTGCATTCAGCAACAAGGACACCTCAGACAACCCCATAATCACCATTTATAATGTGTGATCCACAAGATAGCATGGGGCCAGAGATAGGACGAGAGGTCAGGTGCTCACCGTGCATGTGGCTGACCCGGGTTTGAATCCTCAGCACCACATGGGGTCCGGAGAACCACCAGGGATCCCTCCTGAGCACTGCCGAGTTACGGTCCCCAAAGTGATAAAACTAGCCTGAAAAAGCAAGGTAAGACAATGCTGGGGCAGTGACTGTTCCAGCAGTGGGCGAGAGTCCAAGTGCTCCGTCAAAATGCAGACTAACAGTTCACAGAAAGTCGCTCAGGAACGGTGAGTCTGAGTCACTGGGGCCATTTGTCTTGCATGAGGCCAACCTGGGTTCAAGCCCCAGCAGCCCATAGGGTCCCCGAGCCCACCAGGAGTAATTCCTGAGTGCAAAGGCAGCACCACCAGGTGTGGCCCAAAAAATCAAAAAAAATCTAACTCTGGTGCCCAAGTGTTCTACAGGGGGTAGACTTGCACACGGCCAACCTCGGTTTGATTCTTGTCACCCATGAGGTTCCCTGAGCTCCATGGGAGATCCTTGAGCCCAGAGCTGGGAATAATCCCTGAGCAGCACAGGGCGTGACCCCAAAACCAAAAAAAGAGATATAAATCTTTTACCTGTTTCTGTATCTTGTTAGACAAGTTTTTTTTTTTTTTTTTTGCTTTTTGGGTCACTCCTGGCTTTGCACTCAGGAGACCATATGGGATGCTGGGAATCGAACCTGGGTTGGCCGCGTGCAAGGCAAACGCCCTCCCCGCTGTGCTATCGCTCCAGCCCCTAGACGAGTCTTGTCCTTCCCTCACTCTCTAGTATTAGTCGGCTAGCAAACCAGATTGAGTCTATGAAGGTGACAATACAATAAACTGCCTCTCAGCATACAGAAGGCGGTTTGGGGTCTGAGCCCCAGCTCAAGAAAGGCTCAGGGCGAAAGGGCTCTTTTACAAGACTGGAAACACCATTTCAGAACTTCTCCTGTGGCAGGAGAGGGCGGCTCCCTGCGTGCATGGGGGCAAGGCCACCCCCAGATAAACAAGCCAGCTGTATAGGCTTCGCAGTTCCACCCAGCGTGTGAGGACCTTGTGGTGGTAGAGACTGAACTTGGCTGTGTGCCCAGCGGGCACGCACCCCACCCCTTTATCTCCTTGGCCTCTGCACCATGAATCAGGTTCACGGGCAAACGGTTTCCAACCCTAATTCCAGAGGTATATCAAGGCTCCGTCCACCCTGTGCCAATAACCAAGTCTTCACTCTACTCTGCATTAAGGAGGAAGAACATGGGAGGAACTCATTAGGATCTCAGTTTGGATTCTTGGATAGGACAAAACCAACATTAAAAAAAAAGATAATAGGGGCTGGAGGGATAGCACAGCGGGTAGGGCTTTGGCCTTGCTTGCAGCCAACAAGGCCGACCCAGGTTCGATTCCCAGCATCCCATATGGTCCCCTGAGAACCGCCAGGAGTCATTCCTGAGTGCAGAGCCAGGAGGAACCCCTGAGCATCGCCGGGTGTGACCCAAAAAAAGCAAAAAAAAAAAAAAAAAATAGCGCCGGAGAGGGGAACTGACAGGCTGGGCCTGTGCTTTGCATGAAGTGGGGCAGGTTTCAGGGCTGGCCCTGCATAAACCCCCATGCTTGGCTGGGTTCGGCGCCCCACCCCAAAAAAGAACGAAACTAAGTCCTTATAACGGGTCAACAGGAAGAATGCAAATCGTAAGAATGTGTAGGGGGGATAAGCAACTTTCTAGCCACTGTGGCCATGTCATGCCCTGACCCAAAGGCATGCATGCTGGCAGTGGGAGGCACCCCGCTCCTCCCCTCGGCCCGTGGAGTCCCTGCTTCCTTTATGCCAAGCTTTGTTCGTACATTGAATCTGACGGAGGTTTATAAAACCACTTGCAAGAGGAGACAGCACTCAGGAAACGACCCTGGACTCTCTCACATGCAGTGAGCGCCTGCGCGCCCCCAGCCCAGGGCACCAGCTGGGCACACAGGGGCACGCAGGGCTGTGAAATGAGGCAGAGCGTGCATCCGTCCGGGTGGCCGGGGGCATCTCCACGTCAACCACGCGCAGAACAGAAGGGAAGTTGTCAAGTAGGCTTTATTGTGAGAGGAGGCCCCGAGAGGCCGACAGAGAAGACAGCCTGCGTCCCTCTGGTTCCAGGACCGCTGAGGTCCCCCTGTCACCCCTGTTCAGAGACGATGGCTGATTCTCTCTGGGCCCAGAGCACCTGGAATCAGAAGTCCGGCGAAATGCTCAAACCGCCAAAGCGCCTGGGGTGCCTTTCTCTCCCAGTTCCTATCCAGAGCACTGGAGCTCAGAGGCTTTCAGAGCCTGACAGCGAGCTCGGTGCCTGAGCCAAGGAACTGGCTGTGACAAGTTACCGGACCCACCACTGACGGCAGAAGCAGGCAGGAGCAATGCCTCCAAATTTAAAACAGAGAGAATTGAAAATCTGAGACCGATGCTTCAAAGACTATCGTTATCTGCAGCATGAGTGGTGCAAAATACATCAAGTTTTTTATGATGGCTACCTCAAAAGCAAGCAAAGAGTAAAAAATACCCACTTCTCAAAAGCAATCCAGATCGACTCCAAAGTTCACAATTCAGAAAGAGCCACTGCGACTCTATTTCCATAAATTGCAAAATGATTTCAGAAATAGATTCGATATATAATTCTTTACAAAAATAGAAATGTTGTTTGGGACATTAAAAAACCATAAAATATAATACTTTATTCGTAAATTCAACATCATTTCGCAAGGAAATAGACAAATACTCCACAGATACGAATCTAGTTCCACCCACGGGTCTGGTCTTTGCCATCTGCATAACCATTTCTTGCAAATCTTCAGCCTAAGCAAATCTTGTGCTCTGTAGTAAGATTTAAGAGACTGTTTCATTGGAAGGATTTGATAAGATTTTTCATTCTAGAAATAAAGTTAAAGATGAATTTATTCCTACAAATAAGTCTTACAAAAGGTAGAAACTAATGCAATATGACAACTCTATATCTGATCAATAAGAATGACAACCTATTATTCATCGAAAATGTTGACAATTACAATTTCGTATCTATAAAACATAAAAATATAATCACAACTATTTTATGGAAAAATATTCTTAGAGAACGGAGAACTTCTAAATTTAGGGTTTTTTTGCAGCTGACAGAAGTATTTTCGAAGTACCACCCATTCAGAAACGCTCATTTTTATCACTTCAGAGAGCACCAGTGTATTTTTAGAAGAAACCAAAAAGTAAGAAAGTAGGGCTCATCGTTTCATAGAACAGTGCTATTGGGATAAGGCACCACTTGGTTTACAAAGTATTTCCAGATCCTGTGTTTTTGTTACTGGTGTCTTGACCATTAGCTAGGATGGTAAGAAAAAAAAGAAAAAGAAAAGAAAGCTGATAATACAATTAACTCGCCACGTACTGTCATTTCCCCGTTCTTTTTTGCTTTGAGTTTTCCCATCTGGCGGGACAGATCATGAACGACTACATGGGTCGCGGTCTGTAAAACACGCATCTTTCCCTGACCTTCCCCCAAATCATCTGGGGCAACAGGAGGAGAAAAAGAAACCAAACATTCATCCCAACGCAGCTGCACTGGTCTGTCCCCAGAGAACACGGGGGCTGGCGGGGAAGACGGAGCGATCGTTTCCTAGCGAAGAGATTGAGGCACGTCGGTTAAAGGTTTCTCAGGCGGACTCATGGCTAGAGCGGAACGGGGAGCTCAGAGTCTGGCAGCCCGAAGCCGGTTTCTCAGAGCCGGACCCGACAGATGCGCCCAAGCACGCCCTCAGTCGCTGCTGTCGTCGTCGTCGTCGTCGTCGGACGCGTCGTTCAGCGGCGACTTCAGCGACTGGCTGTAGGAGTCCGACCTGGCGGGCTGGCCCAGGCCCGAGTCCCCGGCGGACAGCAGGTCGTAGCAGAAGTCACAGATGCGCACGGGCTTGGAGGACTGGCTGGGCAGCAGGAAGCGCTTCTCGGAGCAGGCCCCGCAGACCACGAAGCCGCACTTGCGGCAGTGGTGGCGGCGGTTGACGGGCGTGAACTTGGCCTTCTGGCAACGCATGCACACCGTGGCCTCCGAGTCGGGCACCCAGACCGCGGCGTGCTCGTGGCTGGGGGTCTTGCCGCTCTTGGAGAGCAGGTCGGTGACGCACTTGTTGATGTGGTTCATCCACTCGGACTTCTCGGTGGCGGTGGCAGCGTACACGGCGAAGGACTTGGTGGGGGTCTTGATGACCCAGCCGTTCCGCAGGTCCCCCTCGTCCTTGATGGAGTCGATGGTGACGTTCTCCAGGGGGATGATGTGCTGCTTGTTGTACTTCTTCTTCTGGATGACAATGTTGCCGTACACGAGAATGTCATTGAATAAGAAAAACTGCCTGGCTTTGGGCTTCTTCCGGCACAGCTTCGTCAGGACGCCCTCTCCGATGAGAACCCGCCCGGGGATGGTCAAGGGCTGACCAGCGGCGCCAAAACAGTTCTCCACGATGTTTATACGTCTGGTGTTGGCTTCACTATTAGCCAAGCGATCCACCATCTTTTGTTAGTAGCCTAAGGCAAGAAGAAAGAAAAACAGTGAGTCTACAGAAATCACACATTTATGTTAGATTCCGAAATCTAAATGTAATCCAGCAAATTCTTTATTTTACCCAAGGACAACACATTCCAAACTGTTCCTTCAGGGGTGATTCCCACACGGACCAAGAGGAATAATCTCTCCCAACGTTCACATGCCTCAGAAACGCACCAACCCTCAGCTCACAGCACTGCTGCGGTTCAGAAGGCATCACTAAAGTATCTTTACTGACATAAAAGAACTGGACAACGAAAACAAGTTATCTTTGCAAAACAGTACAGCCAGTTCCATGACACGTAACCTCCGAGGGATTCTGAACAAGGGGCCAAAGATTAGAGACTAACGGGAAAGAGCGTCCTCCCAGAAGACAGCTGCTGCCCGTGCCATCACGAGTGTTGCTCTGTGTGCCCGAATCCGCTTAGGCCCGAAGTCAATCTTCAGGCAAGATCTGGCAGATGCAAATCTGACCCTGAGCCTCAAGATGGGCAGTGTGGGGTGTGGGTGTGGCCCTGCCAGCCGGCTCGCCTTGGTGCCGCCTCTGACACTCCCGCTGACCCTTCCCAAGCTCAGGTCTTCTCCCAGGGCGGTGGGAGTCATTAACCAGCCTCGGCAGGACGGCTTCCGCCAGCTCCAGCAGACAGAAACCCTCTAAGCTCTCCCCACCCGAGTCCCCCGAACGCAGTGGACCTTCAGCTCCTCTTACCCAGGGGCTGGGTCAGCCCCCTCCGTAACGCCCCCAGAGCCCAGAGCTGAGCAGGGCTCAACAACTGTAGTGCACGTTCTGCACGCGGGAGCCCTGGGGTCAGTCCCTGGGGTAGAGCTGAGCACCCCTGAGTGTGGCCCCAGGCCAGCCGAGGAGCCCTGCCTTCACTCCAGTTCAGACCTCCTGAGCGTCCGGCTGCTTTCTCCAAGCCCTGCTGGGGGCTGCTCCCAGGTACAGGGTCACTCCTTTTGGCACTCAGAGGACCGTGCACCATGGCGTGAACCTGGGGCTTCACATGCAAAACCACTGCAGCTTTTTGAACCGTTTCCCCAGATCCTTAAAGAGGAGCATTTACAGCTGCGATGGGGCCAGAGAGCTAGGACTGGGCCAGGGCACTTGCCCTGCACCTGGCAATCCCAGTCCAAATCCTCAGACCACATATGGCGACCCCCCCCCCCCCACACACACACACCACCAAATCACTCTGGAGCAGAGTCAGGGCCAGTCCTGAACTTACCAATTTTTCCCTAGTAGGGAGGTACTGCAAGGGCTATGGCGTATGTCTGCCTGTGCCCGACCTTAGTTAGACCCCCCTACAGGGAGGTCACCACCTCCCAGGCCCCCATATCACCACCTTGGGCCCTGGCATCCAGTCACCTGGCCCAGCTGGTCAAGAATCACCAGCAGGACCTTCAGACTCTGAGCCCTGCATGGGAGGTGCCCAATAAGTGTGTAAGAAATGAAAGGGTCCAACACAGACAGTACAATCTAGCCACGTTCAGTTCCTCAACGGACACTCTCTGAAGACTCTGATGCAAACAGAACAGTGGCCGGCACCGCCCAGAAGTGGCCGATCTGAATGCTGCCATGGGGACCACTGGAGAAACGGAGGTGGAAACAGTGCAGCACTGAGATAAAATCATATTTCTTGGAGCCAAAGTGCTAGTACAGTGTCAGGGCAACTGACTTGCACGTGGCTGACCTAGTTCAATCCTCTGACATTCCCATACGGTCCCCCAAGAACCACCAGGAGTGTGAACACAGAGCCAGGTGTGAGCCCCCCAAAAACACCACGTTTTCTATCTAAGATGCCACAGATTGCAAGACCCACTGGTTTCCTTTCCCTTTCATTTGACGATGGAACCAGATCCTATACGCAAGGCAAGTGTGGACTGCCGGAAACTTCCTTACAGCCCAGGACACATTATCTATGTGCCAAGAAAAAAAAATGCCACCAACTCAGTCATGGGATACTATGATGACAGGGACAACTAGGAGTCAATGTACACATACACACACACAGAAATGAGCAAACTACATGCCACACCAACAATGCCACTTGCAGGTTGAGGACTGCAGCTACGCTTCAAGATTCCTCACCCTTTGCAATACAGCCAGATTCACAGTGTGTGTCTGCTCGGCACCCATTGGGGCCCCCAGAACCCAGGCTTGCATGCTCTGTGCTCTCAATCTTCACATCCAAGCTGAGGGAGTCGGGAGGAAGGGAGCCACACGCAGGAAGTCATGTCAGGAGCTTGCACCCATCAACTGGAGCAACTCAGACCAAAGTGGTACCAGATATCGCAGGCCCGAGGGTTGGGGCCAGGGGAGAAGCGTCTAGGCACAAAGACGGCAAAGGTCCTGAAGCAGGATAAGGCAGGCTGACAGGAAACTTAAAGGCATCTACTCCCACTTCATCCACTGCAGTGTCCCCAGGAAGGGGACAGTCAAATGGGCCAGGGGTTGGCAGCGAGTTCTCAGGAAGGAAGAAAGTCAAGGTGGGATCAAAACAAATTACTCTGCCTCAAGCCCCAGGGAACCGAAACCGAGCACGCCCAGACCGGCCGCGTGGACAGACACTGAGGCAGGGCGGGGCAGCCAGGCTCCAGCTCTGGGAACAGGCCTATAAATCCTTGGCGGCGGCCAGAAGGGCGCTTCCCCTCTGGAGGCCTGGCCTGTGTGGTGCCTTCAGTTTTCGGGGAGCCCTAGCTCTCTCTCTAGCCCCCAGCCCCGCGGAGAAGCCCACACTCTCTCTGGACGGCACTGCTCTCGGCCCGCTCCCTTCCTCGTCATCTCGAAAACGGTCCCCTCCACTGTGCGTCTCCTGGAATTCCTTTCTGCTTTTCAGGGAGGGAAGCATCTAACAGCACTTGTTGACATGTTGAGCTGGCAGAGAAATGGAAGCAGAGTAGAGGCAATCGCGGGAGAAGCAAAGAAGCTGGGACCCAGTCTGCACTGGACCCGCGAGGCTGGAGAGGCACCTGGCCTGCCAGATGCCCGCAGTCCCCAGGTGTGTTGCCTGGGAACCTGCGTTGCCGGGGTGACTCCCGGACCCAGGTGCCCGTGTTACCCAACTCCCTGTGTTATCCAGGAGCAATACCCGAGTGCTGTGTTACCAGGTTCCCGCGGACAGGCACACCCTTCCAGCCTAGTTTAGGCAAGCACAGACAAAAAGGCTTCCCCGGCTGTTCCACCCCAGAACTACTTCCTAGGCCCTGCTAAGCAGTGGGCAGGGGCACCTTCACGTGTACTGACCCTGCTGGGGCAAGAAAGTAGTGCCCTTGGGGATGGAGCGATAGCACGGCGGGGAGGGCGTTTGCCTTGCTCGAGGCCTACCGGGGTTCGATCCCCAACAGCCCATATAGTCCCCTGAGCACCGCCAGGAGTAATTCCTGAGTGCAGAGCCAGGAGTGATCCCTGTGCATTGCTGGGTGCGACTCAAAAAAGCAAAAAAAGAAAAAAAAAAAAGCTGTGCCCATGTCAGGCCTTCACTGCAAGCCCCAGCACTGGCCAGAGATAAGATTAACTGGAGCAGATGACCCAAAAGGTCAGGTCATCACCATCAACGCAGAATGTCCTTTTAAGAGTGCGTGGCCTGGGGGCTGGAGAGATAGCACAGTGGGGAGGGCGTTTGCCTTGCACGCGGCCGACCCCCGGGTTTGATTCCCAGCATCCCGTATGCTCCCCTGAGCACCGCCAGGAGTAACTCCTGAGTGCATGAGCCGGGAGTAACCCCTGAGCATCGCCGGGTGTGACCCAAAAAGCAAAAAAAAAAAAAAAAAGAGTGCGTGGCCTTCCCAGTCTAGCGACATCTCGTACCTTATGCCACTGATATGCCAGGAGTAGCACGCCACATTTGATGGGGTGTAAGGCAGAAGACAACCAATCCTGATGTAAAAAAAATTAATTATATATATGTATATATATATATATGCACACAAAGGCTCAAACTCTAATAACATCTTAATGCTCTCTTATACAGGGGCTTAATGGTTCCAAAATGAGATGCGACAATTTTCTCACACTTCCCTCTAAGGAAACCTTTTTGGATCATTTTAGTCAATTATTCATAAGGAGTAATAAAAAATAAATTATTTAGCATCTGCCTGTGGGGCAGGCTTGGGTGGTGGTAGGATAATTCCAAACAGTGGTGGCAGGAAGGTATAACAGTGATGGCATTGGTGTTGAAAATATTGAATATAATCAAGTATCGTTAACAATTTTATGAAAATAAAATTTAAAATATATATATTAAAAAAAAAAGTCCTGTTAGTGTGGTTCCCTTTGAGTGTTGGGAAAAAAATGAAGCCTGGATCTCTCTTCCAACAATCCCTCTCCGTTTAAGGCTGATGCCACAAAGGAGAAGTGGGCCACTGCTCATTAGGAGTGGGCAAGGTCAGGAGCTCTGCCACCAGGCTTACAGACACGCAAGCAATTCTTTTGGGGGGCTGTTACCAACTGTGCCCAGGGCTTACTCCTGCTCTGCACTCAGGGACCAGTCCCGGCAGATGCCAAGGACCACATGGGGTGCCACGGATTAAACCCAGACCACGGATCCCTCTCTCCCCTGTCCCATACAATTCCTGAATGACAACAGTTTCTAAGAGTTTCACTTGTTTGAATGACAGCGCCGTCCACCTGATATTTCCTTAAGGGTCTGCCTGCTGCACTACCCCTGCTCATCTGGAAACATTTTCTGTACGTGGGGACAAGAAAGAAGGAAGCCTCGAGAAAAAAAAAAACTGCAGGAATGAATATAGAAGTGCCCCGGGAAAGGGTGGTCGAAGGGGAGACCCAGCTCTCTTGGCTGGACTGCTGCGCAGAGCCACACAGGTCCGGGGGACACTGGCAGGACCCCACACTGGCCGGGGCAGCAGAGCCTTTCCTCCCCCACAGCAGGAAGCCCATCCTCGCGCCAAGCAAGCCCAGGTCTGGGAAGAAGGGTGCTGAAGCTCTGTGCTCGCGGGGCGGGGAGGGGAGCCTGGGAGGGGG